AAACACACAAGAACAACAAAAAAGTCTGCAATTGTTTCATAGATAGTATGTGGGAATAGGAGTCAGCATAGTGTAGTGGTTTGAGTGTTGGACTACCATTCTGGAGACCTGGGTTTGATTCCCTACTTTGCCATGAAACCCACTGGGTGAACTTGGACAAGTCACACACTCTCTGCCTCAGGGGAAGGCAATGGCAAACCTCCTCTGAGCGAATCTTGCCAAGAAAACCCCATGATCACCATAAGTTGAGAACAATAACAAAAACAATAACTTTCTTGGAGGTCACACTCTCTCAGTCTCGGGGAAAGAAATAGCAAATGCTTTCTGAACAAACTTTGCCAAGGAAACCCAGGATAGATTTGCCTTTGAGTTGCCAGAAGTTAGAAACGACTGGAAGGCACACAACAGTCACCACAACAATAGCATTTTTGGAAGTCACACTCTCTCAGCCTCTGGGGAAAGCAAATGGCAAACGCTTTCTGAACAAACCTTGCCAAGGAAACCCAGGATAGGTTTGCCTTTGAGTTCCCAGAAGTTAGAAATGACTGGAAGGCACACAACAGCCAGAACAATAGCATTTTTGGAAGTCACACTCTCTCAACCTTGGGAAAAGCAATGACAAACACTTTCTGAACAAACCTTGCCAAGGAAACCCTAAGATAGGTTTTCCTTTTCTTCCTCCTCCTCCCCCCCAAAGGCTCCAGGAGCGAAGGGAAGGAAGGAAGGGGGAAAAGAAGGGAGGGAAGGAAGCTGAGGCCTTCCCCTGAGGCTGAGAGAGTGTGACTTGCCCAAGGCCACCCAGTGGGTTTTTACAGGGCCTTCTCTGCAGAGGCAGGGCAAAGGAGTGCAGCCCAGCCCAGTGAGAGAGGAAGGGAGAAACACCTTACCTCGTCCTGCTTCCTCCTCCTCTTTTCCCAGGCAAAAGCCAGCAATGACTCCACCTCCTGCTCCTCCCTGATCTTCCTGAAAGTGTGGCCCAGCCTGGTGAGTTGAGAGGGAGGAGGAGGGAGACAAAATGGCCGTTGCACTGAGGAGGAAGACAAAATGGCCACCGGGTGAGCAAGAGCTTTCTCTTCTCGGTGTATAAGACGACCCCCGACTTTTGGGAAGATTTTCTGGGGCTAAAAAGTCATCTTATACGCTGGAAAATACGGGTAAATGTGTTTAGTCCACCTGTGTCTAGAAATCAAACCAATTTTCAAGATAGTCACTTGAGGACTACTTGAGAGGTCAACTGACTGGGCTGATTGGGAAATTCTCCATGTTTTTCCAGTCACGTCAGGGAGAAGAGAAGAACCATACTCACTGGTTATATGCCTTGTGCAATGTCTTTGTCACCATTGTGTGTTAGACAGAGAAAGCCTGCTGTATATATGTGAGCTCCCCATGTGACAGAGAACCCTCAGTGCTCCAGGTTGTAAACTCCACAAGGAATCTCAACAGATAGAACAAATTCTGTGTTTCAAATTATGGGTCCATGTTTTAAACAGAAGTCCTTTCACCCTACACAATTATAGCACTATGATTCCACTTTAACTGCCATGGCAGCATCCTGGGATTTGCAGTTTAGGAGGGGTATTTAGAATTCTCAGCCAGAGAGCTCTTGTGCTTCACAACTAATGCTCCCCTTAGAAGTATCAATACAGATTGTCCTGCAAAGGACTTGTGCTTCAAAATTCACCACTACACAAATGGTTTGAGGAGAGGCTGAAAGGGACTTGATCCAGAAACTGACTTGCATTATACTGTGTTAATGACTTTTGACCAGGATGCTGGTGAGGAAGAGGTGATCATAAATTTCCCTTAATTTTGTAATCTGTTAGCTTGTTCAATATTTTTAGTATGGTGGCTGATTTCACTTAATCATCCAGGATTCACTGTGATATTGAAAAAGGTTTTGTAGATTCAGTGTCTGATGGGAGTGAAGGTTCCTCTTTTGAGTGTTGTTGCAACTCAGCTCAATCTATTTTCCTCTGTGTCACCATGGCAGAAGAACCTGAGGCAATTGCTCAGTAGATTCTTTGCTTTTTCTTATTTAGTGACAATTCTAATTTTATCTGTGCACTCTTGGAATGTATTAGAGTAAAAACTGACATTAAAGGATGAAGCAGAAGAAACTAAAATGAATATAACTCGACTAGCCTGTGGCAAAGACCTGTACCTGTGCGGACTAGCTAGCTTCTGACATGTCCATCTTGCAAGAAGGAGGGAATGTCTTGAGTTATTTATTCAGACTTTTTCTCAGTGAAAGCACTGTAATTTAGGTGTCTAGAATCAGGCGTTCTCATTTTTTAAAAGACAATGCTTTTGGTGTGATTCTTAATAGCTCTGAGATATCTGAATATCCGATGAAGGTATTTGATTCATTTTCAACCCGAGCAAAATCTAATTTTGGTGACCAAATTGAAAGTTGATTACTGTGGTAATTGCTTTGTAATATTTAGATTTTTTCACCTAGCTTGGTACTGGGCTCGAGGAGTCAGTGAGGCATAGTGGTTTGGGTGGTATATTAGGACTCTGGAGACCAGGGTTTGAATCCCCACTCTGCCATGGAAACTCAGTGGATGATCTTGAGCAAGTCATATTCTTTCAGTTTCAGAGGAGGGCACTGGACAAGTCTTGCCAAGAAAACCCCATGATAGATTCACTTTATGTGTGTATATGTCTTCAAATCACCTGTTGACTTATGTTGACCCCATAATTTCATACAGTTTTCTCAGGCGAGAAATACTCAAATGTAGTTTTACCAGTTCCTGCTTCTGACATATAGCCTACAGAATCTGGAATTTATTTATGGTCTCATTCAAGTACTAACCAGGGCTTACCCTGCTTAGCTTCCAAGACCAAACAGGATTTGGTGCCTTTAAGGTATTTAGGCTTAGGGTTGCCATAAGTCAGAAATATCTTGAGGACACACAATGACTTGGCAGCCATTTCACAAATTACATTTTTTAAAACTTCATACTTAAGATCCTTTAAGTGTACATCAAACAATGTAATGTGGGCGTGTGGCAAGTACACATATATCACTCCTAAGCCATTGTTACATTTCTGCAGCTGATGTTTCTTTTTTCTTTGAGGTCCATGCAATATTCATATTGCTTCCCATACATAATATTTCACGAGTCAGAAGGTATGGCAATGAATAGAATCCAGGGATTGATTGCATTATATTTTCTAACATGTTTTCATTATGTTGGATCAAGTGTGGGCAATGTGTGCCCTCCAGATGTTGTTGAACAGCAATTCCCAGCATTTCTCCCTGTTGGCTAGATGGGAGCTGTAGTCCAATGAAGTCTGGAGGGCTCTATTTTGTTCACTTCTGGTATACAAGTATCTGTCATCTGTGATACGTTGAAGCTTCCTTTAGAAAGGACACTGCATTTGCCCTCATTCTAAAATTTTCTCTTAATTAAGCTTTCTTTCATTCATTTTTTCTCTCTCTCTCACACACACTAGGATGAAACTGAAAAGGACTCAAAAAGAGGTTTTGTGACAATCTTGGCCCTCAATCCAGTATCTCCTTGGCGTAGTAAATATCTATATGTGGATATACACTGTGCTGAGCCATATACCCTCCTCCTGGCTTAATGCAAAGCCCATGAAGCCTCTCCTTACAGTCATTCAGTGCTTCAAGGGAAGCAGGCAAGATCAGAGAAGTATTTGGTACATCCCAATAGTCAATTGCACAATTATTACAGCAGCACTGAAATCCTCAGAGGACCTGGCCAGATCTCAGTGCTGATGTAACCATTTCATGTCTGGTTTTGGGAACATAGCTGGGTTTAAACAAACAAGCAAACAAGCAAGCAAGCAAACAAAGAGGACTCAATAGAAGGGATTCAAAGAAGAGTCAAAGGTCTAACCTGCACTGCAGAAATAATGTAGCTTGACTCCTTTTTAACTGCCATGGCTCAATGCTGTGGAATTTTGGGACTTGTAGTTTTGTGAAATATTCGGCCTTTTCTGTCAGAGAGCTGTGGTGCCATAACAAACTACAGTAAATTGGGAAGGGGGAGATTTGGTACTGCAGGAGGAGGAAGATAATACCAGCCTCCACCAGGACCTGAAAAAGGACATCCATTTATCTCAGGGTACTGGTTCCCTGCTTGCATAAACTGAGGACATGTGGATATAAGCCTGGTTACACTGTAATAAGTCCTGTTTTAATAGTGGGTGGAATGGAGCATCCCTTCTTCACTCTCTTTTCTTCCATACAAATTCAAGTATTGAAATACAGTGGGCTCTTGATATCTGCTGGGGTTTGGTGTCCCCCCCCCCCCACTGGTGGATACCAAAATTTGTGAATGCTCAAGTCCCATCATATACAATGGGGTAGTAAGATGGTGTCTCTTATATAAAATGGCAAAATTAAGGTTTGCTTTTTGGAATTAAAAAAAAATATTTTCAAGCTATGGATGGTTACTGTATTGGTGTGTGATAGAAAAATTTCTAGCTCAAGCTGCCCATCATGGGTTCACTGTTAAGCAGAGGATATGACATACTTGTTTCTTCTTTGGGGCGAATATTTTTCTGTTACCATGGCTGGTAAAACAGTGATTTTTCTGGACTCTCTTCAAATAGAGCTGTTTCCAGGAGCTTACATATTTATGATAACCTCAGGCCATCAGCTGATCTGCCATTGATGTCAGAACACACAAACAAAAAAAATCATAATGAGTGGAACCTTTCTTATTGAAAAAGTAAAATATGGTGTATTTCCTACACTATATCTTATGAGTTCTTTTTCTAAATCAAAAAAGCACTTTATGATCCCCTCTCATCCAAATCCAAGCCTGAATATATTTGTGTTTACAATCTCAGGGCTCTTTTGTTGATAAACCAGCAAAACTGCAGGAATATGTCAAATATTCTTTCCTTTCTCTATACAATATTAATACGCTGATAAACAGTGTGCAAATGAAAATGTTTTAAGGCAAATTGTACATGCCCAATGCAAAACATGTACATGCCCAATATAAAAATTACACCCAAAAGACTTGACAACACTATTACTTGACAACACTATTACTTCTATCAGCATTAAATTGGCTGTTGTTGAAGCATGGGTTCTTGAAAATGAAAGTTACTTCTGATTTTACATTATGACTCATAAAAATGCTACACATCCTGTAGGACCCCTGCTTATGACATACCAGTCCTAAATATTTGTCAGCATGCCTGTCTGTAATCTATCCAGTAGAAATATTTAGCTTTACAAGGGTTAAATATCCAAAACTCTTTCTTTTCTTTTGCCACCCCTTATTCTTTTATGTTTGTCTTTCTTTCCCTCTATCCTGGTGTTTGCTTACTCATAGCCTTACCCGGCAACAGGAGTCTCACGGTGCATCTACACTGCAGGAAAATGCAGTTTGACATGAAGCTCCATTCTTGGGATCTTGGGACCTATAGTTTTACAAGCTCTGTAGCCTTCTCTGCCAAAAGCATGCTGGTATTCCACAAAACTACAAATCCCAGGATTCTGTAGGATAGTGCCATGACAGTTAAAATGGTGTCAAATTGCATTATTTCTACAGTGTAGATACACCCTCTTTAAACCCACTTGGCCCAACAGGTGCCATGTCTAAAATATGTAGAATTTTGAGCCTTATGAAAATGGAACCTTAGGCTGATCATGCACGATGACAGTGTCTGATCAAGTCTGTGTCCAATGTGTCTGGAGCCAATACAGCAACCAAGTAAACCTGGCTTCTTTTTCATTAAACATCAGAAACCTCCACACTGCAATATGAATTCCGACATAGGCTTGTGAGAAACTGTTTGCTCTTCGAGCCAGCTGGAGGATGCCAGAGGACTCTGCAAAAGCCTCCCTTTCCCCATTACATCGGGGTAAAAGGCAGTTGGGACAACTGAACAGGCAGTTGGGGCATGGTCAGGAGTGGCTGGACTTAAAAGTCACTCCACCACCCTCACCCAAGGAACATCTACTGGCCAGCCAACCAGCTGAAGGATGCTAGAGGACTCTGCAGAAGTCTTCAGGAGCTCTCCCCTTCCACCTCCAGTGCCAGCACAGTGACAGCGAAGCCAGTTCCTGGCTGGGCGGAGGCTTCAAAACCCACCCTTTTTCAACATCTCCAGCACCAGCGCAGCGGCAGTGGGGCTGGTTCCTGGTAAGGCGGAGGCCTCATAAGCCCGCCCTTCCCACCATCTCCAACAACAACAGGGCCAGGAAGAGCCTCAGGTGGAGGTTTCAGGGACCACCCAGAAACATTATCATCCTTTTAGTATGATCTGCCTGCGCACTCTGGGACTGATAAAACAACCATTCAAGTGGAGGGTAATGGGGAGCTTACCAACCTTGCCACATAACCTTACCTTGCTCCTCTGTAATGCCAAGTCAGTAAAAAATAAAACTCATATCATCCACGACCTTCTCGTGGATGAAGAAGCTGACCTGGCCTGTTTTACAGAAACCTGGGGGAAGATAGTGCCATCATTTGGAATCAAGAGCTCCCAGCTGGGTACTCTGTTTATGAGTAGATAAGGGAAAGTGAGCGGGGGGATGGAGTGGCTCTGGTTCATAGAGATAACCTCACCTTGACTAGGATATCTATCCAGAAAACAGACTACTTCGAGTGTATGTACCTGAGCCTGAAAACTAGCAATAGTTTAGGGATTCTGTTGGTATACCATCCACCCTGTTGCTTAACAGACTCCCTGTCCGAGCTGACACAGCTGGTCCTGGAATTGCTGTTGGAGTTACCCAGACTTTTAGTTCTGGGTGACTTCAACATCCCGCTCGAGTCCAGTTTAACAGGTGCGGCTCGCCAGTTCATAGATTCCATGACAGACATGACCCTATCCCAATTGGCTTCTGGGCCAACACATTCTGTGAGTCATTCCCTCGATGCGGACTTTAGTACAGAACAGGCATATCCGTGGGTGGAGGTAATAAATACCACTGCATTGTCATGGATGGATCATTTCCTGGTCAAGGTTGGACTAGGAGCCACAGTCCAGCCCACTGGGGGTGGAGGACCTATTAGAATGGTCCGCCCTCAGAGACTAATGGAGCCAATTGGACTCCAGAAAGTCTTGGAGGGTTCCTTGGTTGGCAATGCTGACGATTCTGTCGAAGCCCTGGTTAATACCTGG